TATACCAATAACTCTAAAAAATCTATAGCATTTAATGAAGAATTATCTCCTTCTCATGGGCTTTTTAATCATCCTATCAAACATTATAGCAGGGATTAGAATTCTTTATTGAATTTAATAACATGGTGCAAAAATTGAAATGTTATAATTTTCTATTACCTTCTATAGGATTTATCCAAAAGGTCCTAAAAGGCACAAGTAACCATAGGTGCTGGAACTAGAGGTACTTGGGGTGTTGCCGCACCCCGTCTTGAAGTGGTTTCCATCGTATGCAGGGTTAACAATTCAGTTAAATGGCTCTCAGCACCCCCACTATACAAATTGTTTCAGTACCCCTGCAAGTGACAAGATCCCAGAGAAATAAATTCTCTTACAGAATACATTAGTCAATTCCTTCCTTTTTTTAGGTGCGGAACTAGAGGACCCTACAAAAACTGGCCTTTTCCGTCTCACTAGATCTGTGGGGTCAAATACACAGGAGCCATAATTTAGAAACATATGTTCATAGTATAATTTATAATTATTACAAATAATTATTAATTTTGAACCCACATAAGGTGGTTCTTACCATATATCTAACACACCCTTTTCCGTTGTACTTAGGTGCCAAATAAATGCTTGTAATACCTAATAAATTACTATTATCATCACAGTATTCCTAACCATTCAAGCTGCAGACTTTTGAACATAGCAGGAATTTATATTCTGTTACAAGCAGGCCTAGTTATATTTGTTGCCCTTTGAATACACATCTGATACAACAATATCTACAGTATACTGTCCCTCAGGCTCATACATTAAATTAAGGGCAGATAATCTGAAAACTTGTGTTTATGTAGAGTAAAGCAAACATATTAGGGAATTCCTTAACATAAAGTCGTATGTTCTAAGCACATGTTCTAAGCACGTTTGTTGCTTTATATTAGAGGCTATACAATATTTTGTGTATTCCAATGCAATGACACAAAGCATAAAGGATCATTGACAGCATGGTTGAGAGGAATGAGGCCTGATCTACACTTAAAATTTAGATTGACATAGCTACACTGCTTAGGGGCGTGTGAAAAATCCAGCAGGTGTAAATGCAGCTAAATCAATGGATTCAACAGGTGTAGATGCAGCAAAATCAATGGAAGAATATTTGCGTTGACTTAGCTATTGCTCATGATGGTGGTGTTCTTATACTAACAGAAAAACCCTGTCCACCGGTGTAGACTGCATCTGCTTTATGGAGTTATGCTGGCCTAGCTATGATGCCTAGCTATGCCTGTATAGTCCCCATAGTGTAGACATGGCGATAGAGTGGTGCTGGGAGTTAGATTCTCCTGAATTTTCTGGGCCACATTCAGACCTCATGTGAGTGCATCTTCAGCTGTGTGTCCTTGAACATATCATTTAGGGTTCAATTCAAGTACACTTACCCATGCTGAATTGTACCTTACTCTGTGAGCAGTTGCATTGAAACCAATCATTAAGGTGCTAGTCAGTATGAGCAAGGGTATCAGAATCTTGTACTTACCCTTTCTATGTATCAGTTTCCTCATCTGTAAAATGGAGTTCACAATACTTACCCAGTCAATGCAGGGTTTGTGAGGATTACTTGATACTTGTATATGGCATTGCAGTTTACTGTTGATTGGGATATACTTCATTATAAGGAATGTGATTCAATTATGAGAGGCTGTCCAATTAGAAATGCCTAATAAACATCTTTGTAGACACTTGCACAAATCTGCATGGCAACAAAGTTAGATTTTCACCAACCACTCACTTCCTGCCTGCTAGAGCCCTCCAAATTTCAGCTGCTTTTCTGGTAGCCTGAAATTGTGCATCTCAAAACATGCTCATCAGGTACTGCAGTATTGCTTGGCTGTCATCTTTTTGAATACAACAGTTTGTGTATGCACATTTCAAGCCTGCTTTCTGAAATATAGCCCCATGAGTCTTTATTCCTCAAAAGTTTTTATGCTGCTGAAGAGCTCCCTGTTCATTTTTAAAGTGGCTTTTTCTGTACAATGGAGAATACAATGTCCCTTCTGATCGCATCTAAAATAAATACTCAAAACATAAATATACACGTTACGTGTGTTGAAGTCTTTATATGCAAATAACAGTATTGACGGATAAAAACTTCAGACATCCAGGCCTTTTGCTTGTTCAAGTGTGGTGTGAGACTGGCAAAGCTAAAGATTATTGTTCGACTAGAAGTCATTTAGCAGTATCATGGCCTCTTGCCAGATGAGCCTAACTCCCATTGGCATTACTGGGAGTAGTATGGATGTATGACCAGGAGAAGAGTAATTTTATAGATAAATATATTGCTTGATCTGATTTTAGGATCAGAATTAGTCCTTTTTGTTGTGCAGAAAGCATTTTTAACTCATCCAAGAAGTGCCTCATGCACACAGTAGTAGCCAAGTCTGATTAGATGAACAGAACCTAAAGCTTTATAACTTTTTGCTTGGCTCTGCCTGAGGACAGTATCATACAGCACCGAGGAGCCATGGCCGAGCACACACCTTCATGCACCTCATCTGTACACGGGGTAGAGTGCTGAGTGTCTCCTGTGAGGCACTTTCAAATCCCATGGACTTCTCTGGGAGACAAGGTTGCTCAATACCTACTAGGTAGATCCTGGTGGAGTTGGGCCCTCAGTGAATAACTGTCTCTTTTTTCATCTCCTCTAAAAATGCTTCTGTGTTCTACAGTGATGTCCCACAGCCCTACAGTTCACAGTAGTATTGGATCATTATTGCAGAATATTGATGGTGCAGGGCTTTTTCTTTTAAAGATAAAGGTGTGCCTTTATTTAGAGAATTCTCTAATTCTCTTCCTTGTGGTACCAAAGAACACTCTCAGCATGGCCCAAAGCATAGGTGCTGACTCTCTGGCTGCACAGATGGAAAAAAATCTTGGGTGCTTAGCACCCATCAGCAGCCAGCCCCCTGGCGCCTCCCATCCACCAGTGGCCCCACCAATCAACTCCTCCCTCTCCCTCCCAGTGCCTCCTGCCTGGCCCTTCAGACGTTTTAATCTGGCCCTTGAGCTCCCGCAGCGTGTAGTAGGCACTGGGCGGGAGGGGGAGGAGTGGGGAGGAGGAGCGCTCAGGGGAGGGGGTGGAACTAGGTGGGAAGAGGCAGGGTGGGTGTGGAGTGGGGGGTCGAACATGGGCGGGAAGAGGCGGGGTTGGGGTGGGGGCGCAGCCTGGTGCAGAGCAGCAGGTTGAGCATCCCCGGGGCCTGGAGGAAGCCGGCATCCATGAAAGTACTGTGGCTTCCTATACTGTTACTACACTGCTTTAGGTCATTATTGTGGAATTCTGTGGAATACTACAATATATATATACTGTGGGCTAAAGCAGCAGTTTGACTTAAATCCAGATACAATGTGCCCCTTATCAGCTAAAGCAGGGGTGGGCAAAATACGGCCTGGGGGCTGCATCCAGCCCTTCAGACATTTTAATCGGGCCCTCGAGCTCCCGCTGGGGAGCAGGGTCCAGAGCTTGACCCGCTCCGGCAGTCCCGCTGGGGAGAGGGGTCGGGGCTTGCCCTGCTCTTCATGTGCTGTGGCTCCACGTGGCTTCTGGAAGCAGCAGCATGTCGCCCCTCTGACTCCTACACATAGGGGCAGCCAGGGGACTCCACATGCTCCAGGGGGCTCCAGGAACTGCAGCCAATGGGAGCTGCCTGGATGCACCTCCACATAGGAGCTGGAAGGGGGACATGGCGCTGCTTGAGGTAAGTACCAACCGGAGCCTGACCCCCTCCTGCACCCCAATGCTCTGCCCCAGCCCTGATCCCCCTTCTGCCCTCTGAACTGCTCGGTCCCAGCCCAGAGCACCTTCCTGCACACCCAACCCCTCATTCCCATTCCCACCCCCACCCAGAGCCCACACCCCAAGCCGGAGTCACACCCCCCTCCACACCCCAATCCCCTGGCCCAGCCCGGAGCCCCCTCCTGCACCTGAACTCCTCATTTCTGGCTCCACCCCAGAGCCCACACCCCCAGCCAGAGCCCTCACCCCTTCCCATACCCAACCCCCAATTGCATGAGCATTCGTGGCCCACCATACAATTTCCATACCCAGATGTGGCCCTCAGGCCAAAAAGTTTGCCCATCTTGGGCTAAACTGCCATTAGGTCCTGTGGTTTCTAAATATCTATCCGGACATAAGCAGTTAGGGTCAGAGACCATCTTTTTGTGCTGTTTTTGTACAGTGCCTAGCACAATGAGGCCATGGGCCATGCCTGAGGCTCCCAGGCACAACTGCAATGCCAATAAAAAATAAATTGTGAGATTGTCCAGTAAACAGAAGAGCACCATTATTTTGGAAATCTGCTTTGTTTCATATACTTTTCTCTTCCTAATTATACACAGGTTGACCCAGAAACTTTTCGCAAGTAAATCTATGAAACATTTAAGAGCACAGAAATTGGAGATGAGTGGTTGTTTTTTTTAGCAAAGTAATTTGAGCCAGATAATTAAAATGGATTGGGGGAAGAAAACCATCTCTTATAGAGAGCGGGTACGAATTCTTGCACCAAAATGACCATTCAGGCCCTATTTCAAATACTGATGTGTTTAAAAGGGAATGCCCAAGTTCACAGAAGCATCTGTCAGAAAATAACCCACAACTGTTTCCTGAACCTGCAACACATTCAGTTATTCCAGCCATGAACAAGTGAAAACCTTGGACCCATTCTCACGCCAAGTATTAAAATATCTATTGAAAGGGATTGATTCCCCCTCCCCCTTAAGAAAAATAAATCTCAAAACCATTTCTCCCCCTCAATTCAAACTCTAGGGTCACCCAGGTGAATGGCAAGTGTTCTGAAGTCTGGCCATTATAAACATGTAATAGGCTTAGAACATTATAAGCCACAACAATAATAAATCACCATTTTTAATCCTTGTCCAGAATTTCAATTTACAAAAATATACCTCCAGCATAGAGTAAAATCTGCCTTTTTTTTTTTTTAAATACCAAATGGATTAAATACCTTTGATTCCTGGCTGGTAGTAGATGCTGGAGAGGGGGGTTGATCTGTGTTCTCTAGTTCATTCTCTTTCTCCACATTATCCACACTGACTTCAGTAGTGTTGCTTGGCGGAATCATTTTACCTCTAAAATAATACCGTTGCTATCGGGAAGAGAGCTCCAGTCCTCTCCTGCTTTTGTTTATTTAATTTGTTCTTTCTTCTCCGTTCCTGCAGCGCAAACACACTCCTCTCATTCTCAGTTTGGCTATATTTGAAGGCTAGAATTCTCTGGATTTTCTTTTTCTTCTCCTCTTCCTCCCTCACTCCCCCCCTCCCCCGCCCCCTTCCCCTCTGTAATTCTGCTGCAAGGGAAGTAAGTTATTGATGGCTCTGTGGGTCAGTTGTGTGTCTGCTTCTGTGTTTTTCTTGCTCCTTCTTTCCTCAGAGTGAAGCCTGGAGGTGTAGAACAGAGAGTCGTGACTGTCAGCCCAGTGATCAAATGGGAGTGAGCTGAAGCAGAAAGCCTGAGCTGCTCACACACATGGGGCACTGGAGGGAGGAGTTGTATTTCTAATGCCTTGAACGGCTTTGCAGGAGCATGTGCTATCATAGTAGTGAAAGAAAGTAATGCACTCACACACACACGCAACTGCACACGAGGGTTGGAGGAGCTGTTTTACCTTTTAGTAAGGCTCAAGATAGGGGAGCGTGGCACCGTTTGAAGAAGTGCAGCTGCTCATTTATGTTCTAGTAAATTGTATGGTGTGGAGTGTGCGTTAGGGGGATTCCAGAAACGAAGAGGAAAACATCCCCACCAAATAGGGACATCACAAATCAAAGGAAGCTGGCACTTTTAGAGCAGGAAGCTTCCTCCCAAACTTCTTGCTAAAAGGGGACATGACAGGCACACAGAAAACCCTCCCTGGTATCACATGCCCCTGGGTGAATAGGAAATGCAGGCAAAACAGCATCGCTCTGAGTGAGGCACATGGAATCGAGCATGGCAGCGGCTGTCGAAAGGTCAAATGAAGCATCCATGAGCTGCACAATTCCTACACGTGGAGGTTGCCACGGTGATAATGCTAGATGAGTAACTAAATGATGGTGTCCAGTGAAGCAGCGGGAAATATCTCTCCACACAGCTGAGAATGGTGTTGTCACACCAGGACCCTTTGGGGGAATAAGCCAGTGCTGGGGACTTTCACTTAGTGGATCAGATCCTCAGGGTGTGTAAAAAAAAAAAAGTGTCACTCCATTGCCTTTCTGATTTACACCTGCTGAGGATTTGGCTCAGTACATTTAAATAGCTACTTACTTGCTGTTTCATCCTCTGTGCCCTTATACACAAGGCTGAGTGCATAGCATGTTCTTTAAAGGGGATTCTATGGGGCATTTTTGCTTGTATTCATACAGCATTATTGTGGCACGTCTCACCTCCTTTCCACACTGATTTAAGGGCTAAGCGTCTTACAGTCAGTAGGATTCGAGAGTGCTTGGCTCCTAGCAGACAGGCTTACCATATTGTGGGGTGAGCCCCTTCAATTAGAGGGGAGCATATGACCCTTAGATATTAATAACATACTTTGAAAAGTAGTTTCTCCTTTAATCTGTGGTTCTACCCTGAAAAGTGGCAACTGATAAAAGTGGTAAGAATGGCAATTTCTTACTTGGCAGATTTGCTAACCTGTTATATTCAGAGGTAGATCCGCTGAACTTAGAGACACAGATACATTCTGACTGCTTTTCACTCCGTGTCACTATGGGAGAGTGAACTGGATTCTGTAGTGGCCCAGGCCTCAGCCACAGGATTGTTAACTAAGGTTCTGTTGCAGGGTCATATATTGTTCCAGGTAATTCCCTGGTGGTTTCCACAGGTGTAAATGAAGGTGGAATATGAAGACAATGGGGTTGTACGGGTCTAAGGGAGTGCAGAATTAGGCCTGTAGACTTCTTATTCTTTGTAATGATGCAGGGGACAGGAAAAAAGCCGCAGCCTTACTTTGAATCCCCAGGCAAATTTTCAGGGCTCTCAGGAAAAAAAAAAAGAGCTTTTTACCTTTAAATGGAGTATCTTGGATACCAAAATCATTACCAGCCAATCAACATGGACCCTATGGATGCTCTTTGTACAGTCCCTTCGGAGCAGAACTGTACCTGCAAACATAATTCTTTGTTTGTCCTGTTGTGGTTAATGCCATTACAGCCATAAAAATGCACTTTGGTCATTCACGTAAGGGCTGCAATGAAGCTAAGATGGCGCGGGTGGGGTGGGGAGGTGGGGATACAGAACTCACAGCAGTGGATTTGGCAGGGAAGCAAATTTCAAATTCTGTATTTTAAAAAAATTCAAGCAGAGTCCTAGATTGTGCCTCTCTGAGCTTTGGGGCCCTCCATCCATGTGTGGAGCTATAGAATCATAGACTTTAAGGTCAGAAGGGACCATTATGCTCATCTAGTCTGCCCTCCTGCACAACGCAGGCCACAGAATCTCACCCACCCACTCCTGTAACAAACCTCTAACCTATGTCTGAGCTATTGAAGTCCTCAAATCGTGGTTTAAAGACTTTGAGGTGCAGAGTATCCTCCAGCAAGTGACCCGTGCCCCACACTGCAGAGGAAGGCGAAAAACCTCCAGGGCCTCTGCCAATCTGCCCTGGAGGAAAATTCCTTCCCGATTCCAAATATGGTGATCAGCTAAACCCTGAGCATGTGGGCAAGACCCACCAGCCAGCCACCCAGGAAAAAATTCTCTGTAGTAACTCAGATCCCACTCCATCTAACATCCCATCACAGGCCATTGGGCATATCTACTGCTAATAGTTGAAGACCGATTAATTGCCAAAATTAGGCTATCCCATCATATCATCCCTTCCATAAACTTATCAAGCTTAGTCTTGAACCAGATATGTCTTTTGACCTCACCCCTCCTGCATGGAATATGAGGGTCAGGTGTTCCATGGCATCATCCCTTCAGAGAGTACCTGAGGTAGGAATGGGCCAATAGCAGGGCCTATTAGGCAACAATTGGTCAGATTTGAGGACAGGGTCATTGTCTCTCCTTCTAGCCCTGTGTAGACAAGTTTAAAAATAAAGGTAACCTAGATCCAGACCTGAAGAAGAGCTCTATGTAAGCTTCAAAGCTTGTCTCTCTCTCACCAACTGAAGTTGGTTCAATGCAAGAACTTACCTCAACCACCTTGTGTCTCTGATATCCTGGGACCATCACAGGTACAACTACACAGTAAACTGAAGGTCCTTTCTGTTCAGGGGACTCAGGTCAGCTGTGGGCATGGGAGATCCTGCCAGGGAGATGTTGGTGAAGACACATGGGCCTCTCTGTGGGTGGCCCTGGTCTCCTTTAGATTCCAGGCAGTTTGGGGGCACCACATTGGATCATTCCACAGAGGGTGCATGTCCGAGCCCAACAGAGCAATTTTTTCTCCTCACAGAACCCCTCCCAGGAGTATTTCCAGCCGATACTTATCAGTTGGAAGCCTGTACCTGTGTTCTGTTACTGGTTAGGGAGCTCAAACAGGTCTTGTATAAAATTTTTTGCCACTCCTCTCTAAAATAAACATGAGATCCTTTTAAGAGGCAGAGTAATACTTAATGCTCCAAGTATTGTAAAATCATGCACACATTCTGTATTAAAAGCATGTAATGTCATGAATGTAAAAGTGACTCTCCTACCACACTCAGTACTCAATTCTTTTTGTTTAACCAAATTAGTACCGACACCTGCTGCACTCCCTTCCTTCTCCCAATTACTCACTTGTCAGCCATGACTGATCTGCCAGTTACTTGACAATTAGCCTGGGAAAGATGACTCAAAGCTCAAATCTTAAAAATGCCTCTCCCCTCCCCCCATCAACAGTGATTTATCAAAAATCAAATATCAAGTATAATAAAACAGAGAGATCACATTAAATAAACCTACAAATCCTCTCTTTCCCAGTCATCCTTGAAAAAGTTGGCTCTGTGATTGATGCTGATCATTCTCTGGGTGAAGGTTCTTGCCTGATATGTGAGGTACTACAGTATGCCACTAAATGAAAGGCAATGAAGCAGATTCTCTAATGAAAAGATGAGTATAGATTTTGGAGCAGGGAAAGGAATTTTAATGAATAAATGTAAGAGTCTCAACCGCCAACTGTGGCTGCTTAGCTGCATGAAGCAGCTGTAAAGTCACAGCCAAGAATTCCCCTGACAGGGGGATCCTCAGGTGATGAAAAGCCAGCATAGATGGCTCCATGCCATCTGCTCCTCCCTCCACATAGAGGGGGAATTAGGGGCAGGGATGGGGAGCATAGAGGGCAGTGCACTGTGATCCACTGAACCCTGGCTGGCAAAACGCTTCCTGAAGGACTACTGCAACTGGCATAGTTTGGAGCAGCACAAAGATTGTTCTAAACTACACCTGGGCTGTTTCAGCTCTTAGCCAGTCCAAGAATGGAGAAGAGAAATGGTTGCACAGGGTATGTCTACACTGCCAACAACAACAACAAAAAAATCCTACAGCAGTAAGTCTCAGTGTCCAGGTCAACTGACTCAGGCTTGTGCTACGGGGCTAAAAATAGCAGCGTAGATGTGCTGGCTGGAGCTCAGGCTCACTGGGTTTCAGAGTCTGGGCTCCAGCCCCAGCAGGAACATTTGCACCACTACTTTTAGCCCTGTAGTGCAGCCCCACGAGCCTGAGTCAGTTGACCTGAGCTTAGAAACTTGCTGCTGCAGGATTTTTTTGATGCAGTGTAGACCTACCTTTAAAGGCACATTTCTCCCCACTTCCTTCGGCTGCACTAAGGGTATATCTACACTATGGAGACTATCGGCAGAGCTGCATTGCCGTAGCTATGTCAGCATAACCTCCTGGTGTAGATGCAGCGCACTCTGATGGAAGGGGTATTTCTGTGGGTGTAGGAACACTACCTCCTCAAATGACAGTAGTTATGGCGACAGAAGCATTCTTCCATCAACAGCGCTGCAGCTGCACCGGGGATGAGGTCAGCATACCTATTGTGGTCAGGGGTGTGGATTTTTAACATCCCTGAGTGATGTAACTAGGTCATCTTAGCTTTTAAGTGTAGACCAGGCCTAAGTCTGAACTCAGTACAGCTGAAAATCTGACCCACCTTCTCTATTCTATGCCATTCAGACACAAACCTCCTGACAGACATTTAACACTCATTTAAAGGAACAGGTATGGAATCTAGTTACATTAACATAAAAATTAAAACAAATGAATTCAGCACTTATAAAAGGGTTTTAGATTGACAGACTATGAGACTAACATCTTCTGATTATTAATGGGGTGGGGTGGGAGGAAAAGGGAGTAAATTACAGGCCTGATTCTTCACTGCCTTGGACCTTGTGCAATTATGTACACCAGTGCAAAGTGGGTATAAAATGCTTACAGATCAGAATGATAACATTTTGCACAGACTGCGCAGGTGTAGAAAATAACTACCTAAGGTGCAAGGCAGTAAAGAAGCAGGCCCTGGACAATCCCAGTCTCTTATACTTAGAATATAGAGGAGTAGGACACTCTCTGAAGCCACTTGGGATCTGACTATGCAGACCTAGCCAACCTAGGAAATGCTTAGATTGTTGGGTGTCATAGAAACCTTAAAAAAGATAGAAAAATT